ATTTGCGTTGCTGCGTCACTTACATTTCTTTTGTCTGTGAACCAGCATTTCGATCTCGTTCATTTGAATTACAATCGTCCCAGTACGGTTACACGCCGCACGTGAATAATTCCGGCAATAAATATTTAGAACGCTTGCATTATCATAAAATCGATAATTAATGTTGCAGCGCATCATACGCATGATCTGTCATTAATTAGCTCAATGTTCATACGTTGTTGTCATCACGATCATAAATACAGGACGCATCGGTCAAGATACGTTTAACAAAAATTACAGATGTTTTAAACCTATGGGAATTATATAGCAACGATTAATGAGACAAAAAAATGTGAAATCCCCTTTTTATCAAACCCAGATAGCACAGAGATATCTTTTAAACGTTTTTATGATATAAATCTTGAAAATATCTTTTCAATTTTAATAATTATTGGAATGGAAAAAAATAATCATCTCTTGATATATTCTTAAATTAAAATTCATTTATAAATATGTGTGGAATAAATATATTGAGTTCTCTATCACAATAATTTATTACAATATAAATAATGATAAATGAAATTGCTGAATATCATAGCCACCATCTTATAACATGTCTCAAAAATATTTAAATATTTTTAAACTTTGTCTGAATTATAAGTAAATTTAATTTATACCAGCATTTAATAATACACATCTGATTAAAAAATTATTCATAATTTTATAAATTCAGTTTCATTGATTATATATCATTTTCAAGTCCATTACTTTAAAAATAGCAATATATTTATCAAAGAAAAATTTCGAGTTATAGCGTTATTAATATAAAATTTGAAAAAAAAATTAAAAAATCTTGTACTATCTGGGATCTATTATCAACATCGACCACAATAAATCGCAATAGTTCCCGTTTTCCTTGATTCGCATAGTCTGTATGCTACGTACCGAGCCAAAGCATCGTGTGATTCATCTCTTAATCTATATGATCCGATCCATCCGAAACAGAAAAAGAGAAAATCATTGGATTTAACGCGATCGTTCGATTTATATTGCAGAGTTTTCAACAAAGTGAAAAGCAGAAGCGCGCACATGAAATCCCACAGGCCGGTACCCTCGCCCGATTCAACGGGGCAGGAATCTAAGAGGCCTGTCCAACAGCAATCCAAGACGCAACAATCCCAACAATCCATCCAGCAGCAGCGTCAACAGCAGCAGCAACCGCAACAGCAGCAGCAGCAACAACAACAACAACAAGCGAGCAGCGTTTCATCACAGGCCCAAGATTTCAATCAGCAGCAACTGCCTCCCAGCAACGGCGACACCGGCGCTCAGAACCCAGCGCATTTATGGCACAATCCGACACGGTTCAGGCCACCATAGGACGATGCCCAGCCGGTTCAACTAAAGTTACCTTAACGAAGGCTGTAACGGTACGGTAGGAAAGTATTTTACGGTCGCGCGAACTACGTAATAGAACAGGCACTATACTATAAAAATAAGATAGAAAAGAAAAAAAAAGGGGGGGAAATGAAAAGAGAACAATAAATTCACGAATCGTCGAAAGGATCGCCGTCAGACGATCACGATGGAGGAGAACGTTAAGAATTAGGTGATCTCCCCAAGTGTCGTCCGCCATTAGAGCCAAAGTGTCTCTGACATCCTTCCTGGCACAGGCGAAACAATTTTAGGCGAGATAAAGTAAACGTAAAACGGACACTTCCACGATAGATAATATAGTTCCAAGGAAAGATGAAAACGAAGAGGAGAAGGAAGGGAAGAGTAATAATGAAAAAAGGAAAAAAAAAAAA